ATGTGGCACTGCATAACCACAAAGACTTCTACCCCAATGGCATTATAACACATGATTATAATAGACATGTTATTCTGATGTTTGTGTGTTAAAATTATAAGGTGTCATGTATTTCTTTCACGTCCTTCAATTCACACTAATTTCATTGTAGCACATTCTTCGCAACAAAAGCAATATAATGTAAAGTGTGCCACAGCAACAGAAGCAGCACATCCCTACCAGTAGGACAGTACCACCAGTAGCACAGTTCCAACAGAAGCAGCACATCCCTACCAGTAGGACAGTCCCACCAGTAGCACAGTTCCAACAGAAGCAGCACATTCCTGCCAGTAGGACAGTCCCACCAGTAGCACAGTTACAACAGAAGCAGCACACCCCTACCAGTATTACAGTCCCACCAGTAGCACAGTTCCAACAGTAGCAGCACATCCCTACCAGTAGGACAGTCTCACCAGTAGCACAGTTCCAACAGAAGCAGCACATTCCTGCCAGTAGGACAGTCCCACCAGTAGCACAGTTCCAACAGAAGCAGCACATCCCTACCAGTAGCACATCTCCACCACAAGTAGCACAGTCCCAGTAGCATGTTACAGTCAGAAGCAGACTTCACATTCAGGTTAAATAGTATATTTGTGAAATTGTGAGCCACAACTAATCCAAAGCATTCAGTTGGGAGAAGTGAAATCCCTGTCAGTTTTATAAAATATCCCTCTCTTCACACATCAAACAATACTTTCAGCACCAATGTATTTTGAGGTAGTTTTTTCTGCGATTCTGTGTAGAAGTCTGACGAAGTACTGATTCCATGCCGCCTGGTTTTTACTGTACAGATTTAAATAGATACCCAGTAGAACGATTAAACCAGACCAGATATATCTGAAACAGTTTTAGAGTTTTAACATTTAAAGGTTTTGTGGAATCAAACTTCTTCAAATTATAGCCATGCTTACAGAGGACGATAAATCTTGACAAATTTTCAATTCCACATATCTTTCTGCCTGTGTGCAAGATAACTGTTGGAATTCGATGGAAAGCTGCAGGGCTGGGGCCATTACATTGGACATGTAATTAATTATATTACTATCACTTTTTGAAAGTAATCATTACAATTACTTTTTCATTTTTAGCAATATAATTAATTACCATTACCCATTACATTGAAAGTAATTACAAAACAAGAAGCACTAATTAAGTCATAAATACATTCTCTTTATAATATAAAAAACCCTTTTATTTTCATGAATACAAACACATCACCAGTCATAGCACCGTATATAGTTGGTGCAAAAACTTAGGAAGTTAAACCCTATTATAACATTCTCTTGGTTGACAACAAAATCAACCATTTGACGAAAGACACAGTCAAAAACATTATACTCAAACAAATAGAATAATACTTAATGAACGGCAATACTATATACCGGAAAACACCAAGTTATACTGAACACCGGAAAACACACTAAATACCGGAGAACACACTAAATACCAGAAAACACCCTAAATACCAGAAAACACCCTAAATAGGTAACCCAGAGCCTGGTCCTCTGTTTGCGGGGAGTTAGGATTAGGATTAGGGTTAGCGTTAGGTTTTTCCGGTGTTTTCCAGAGGACCAGGCTCCAAGTTACCTATTTAGGGTGTTTTCCGGTATTTAGTTTGTGTTTCCAGTATTTAGTGTTTTTCCAGTATTCAGTATAACATGGTGTTTTTCAGTAGTTTTCCGGTATATAGTATAGCCCTTAATAAGATGTGATAGATATAATGTTTTATACTTACTGAAATGTGAAAGGTTTTGTGAAGAATAGAAAAGATAAGATGATAGTGATAGCTTTTCGACATGTTGTCACTGAAAAACAAACAATCAAGTAATAAAATATTATAACTAATATACTGTACTCGTATTATACTAATATAGTATAACCAATATACTGGACTAATATTATACTAACATAGTATAACCAATTTACTGGACTAATATTATATTAATATAGTATAACCAATTTACTGGACTAATATTATATTAATATAGTATAACCAATATACTGGACGAATATTATACTAACATAGTATAACCAATATACAGGACTAATATTATATTAATATAGTATAACCAATTTACTGGACTAATATTATATTAATATAGTATAACCAATTTACTGGACTAATATTATATAATTATATACTATTCAAAAAAAGTAGGGGATATTTTATTTTGTGGGCATAATACTAAAATATGCAAATGACTACGAAAAAAGTCACTATAGAACCTAACAGAAGAAACATTTCCAGTTACATGTGACGCCCAAACGCACCAATAGCTACCGCATGGAATGCAGGTGATGCTTGGGATCATCATGGGGGTCCAACCCAAGATTTGCACGACTCTGACTTTGAATGTTACAGTCATTGTGGCATTGAATTCCAGGGTGGAAACATCAGTTTAATTGTTTTAGTGACCAGAAAACAAATTTTGATATGCGTCGGCTTACCCAAAATGAAAGGTTACGTGCCCTTGGCATGCTACAGATCGGCACAACACAGGCGGTTGTGGCGCGTACGATGAATGTTTCTCAGTCTGTCATAAGCAGGCTATGGTCCAGATACCGTGATACACAATCTGTACAGGACAGACCACGCTCAGGTCGACCAAGGGCGACAACTCAAGCCCAGGATCGATTTATCCGTACCTTGGCCTTGAGAAATCGTGTCATCACAGCAAATCAGATCAGCGCTCGTCTTCAAACAGACACTGGTGTGAGAGTGAGTGGCCAGACGATTCGGAATCGACTGCATAGGGGTCACCTTCGCGCCCGACGTCCTCGCGTGATCCCTTGTTTGAGAGATCATCACATTCAGGCAAGACGTCGTTGGTGTAGGGATCGTCAACACTGGGATAATCGACGCTGGAGCAATGTGATGTTTTCAGATGAGTCAAGGTTCACTGTTGATTTTTTGGACAGACGTAGGAGGGTGTGGCGTCGTCGAAACGAGCGCTTCCAAGACGTTAACGTCATCAGACATGATCGATTTGGGGGTGGTTCTGTTATGGTGTGGGGAGGCATCACTGTTGCTGGAAGAACGGCTTTACATGTTGTTGCAGGGCGTGTTACAGGCCAGTACTACCGGGACAACATCTTGGCAGTCCATGTTGTGCCGTTCGCACGACGTCATGGCCGCCGTTTCATCTTCCAGGATGACAACGCAAGATGTCACAGGGCCAGGATCGTTACAGGTTACCTCCAACAACAGAACATCACCACATTACCTTGGCCAGCACTGAGTCCCGACCTCTCCCCCATCGAGCATGTCTGGGACATGCTTGGACAGAGGTTACGTCAACGTCAACAACGTCCTGCCAATGTCCAAGAACTTGCTGCTGCGTTGCAACAGGAATGGGACAATCTGGACCAAAATGACCTTAGACGTCTCATTAGGAGTATGCCACGTTGGATCAATGCTTGTTTGGCAAACAGAGGAGGATTTACCCGTTACTGACTTGGTTGTGATGCTGTGGTAACTTTGCTGTTTGACCCCGGGTATCATTTTACCCTTAGAATGGTCAGTCTGTGCCTTACTTAGTCTAACGATCATTTGGAATAAATCGATGAATGTGAACTTCATTTCATTTTGTCATTTGTTTCTTCGTCAGTTTCATTAGGTGACTTTAATAACACTTAAAAATCAAATATCCCCTACTTTTTTTGAATAGAATAGTATAACCAATATACATGTACAGGACTAATATAGTATAACCAATATACTGGACTAATATTATACTAACATAGTATAACCAATTTACTGGACTAATATTATATTAATATAGTATAACCAATTTACTGGACTAATATTATATTAATATAGTATAACCAATTTACTGGACGAATATTATACTAACATAGTATAACCAATATAGTATAAACAATATACCGGACTAGTATATTATAACCGATAAACTGGACTTATATTATACTAATATAGTATAAACAATATACTGGACTAATATATTATAACCAATAAACTAATATTATATTTATATCTTGGAAATCCTTCATACAAGTAGCAAAGTGAGTAAGGTACTAGCCCACTAACCAGTAGGTCTGGCGGCCATCCTAGTGTTCTCCTGGATTTTCCAGCGTAATGGTTTCCCCTCGTCAGTGGCGCACGACAGATGACCTGGCAACTGGCAAGGATAGCGTCTAGTCGTCTGGATGGAATAGAAAAACAAGTCCTGTTTACAAGTCAGAGTGTAGATAGAAGAAACCATGAGAGTTTAAATTTGAAATAAGAGTTGGCTGCAGCGTTTCTGTCGAGGCGAGTTAGTGAACCAGTGCCTTACTCACTGAAGCACTGTGGCTCATAAATAATTAGAATTGTGAAGAAAAGCTTGAACAAACCTGTGACAGCTGTTAAAGCACCGAATATCTTCACTAAAGTTAAAACTATATTTACACCAATATAACCAGTTATAGAAAATATCACAGCATAGCCATATGTCTCTATAGGATGCTAGAAAATATAACAATATAACATATAACTATATGTCTCTATAGGATGCTACAAAATATAACAACATAACTATATGTTTCTATAGGATGCTACAAAATATAACATAGCCATATGTCTCTATAGGATGCTAGAAAATATATCAATATAACATAACCATATGTTATAGGATGCTAGAAAATTTAACAACATGACCATATGTCTCTATACGATGCTAGATAATATAACAATATAACCATATGTCTCTATAGGATGCTAGAAAATATAACAAAATAACCATATGTTTCTATAGGATGCTAGAAAATATAACAATATAACCATATGTCTCTATAGGATGCTAGAATTATAACAATATAACCATATGTTTCTATAGGATGCTAGAAGATATAACAATATAACCATATGTCTCTATAGGATGCTAGAATTATAACAATATAACCATATGTTTCTATAGGATGCTAGAAGATATAACAATATAACCATATGTCTCTATAGGATGCTAGAAGATAACAACATAACCATATGTCTCTATAGGATGCTAGAAGATATAATATATTATTACGGCATACCATTTGACAGTTTGAAGTCTCATCAAAGACGTACTTCAGACATTGTGAGACTAACAGACAAAAATCATGGAATCAAAACCATGCGACTAGAATCAATGACAGACCTTATCATCTAAAGTACACATATTAAATAATTCTGTCACCCAACCCCCTCCCCCCCCACTCCTAATACTGTTAGAGAGAGAGAGAGAGAGAGAGAGAGAAATGGGGTTTAACATCCACTCGACACAAACTAGGTCATTTCGGGACTAACATATGGTTTAATTTTATTTCTATAATTCGCTTGCGCGTCGGGGTCTTTAGCAGTGGGAGGACCTGGAGAAAACCTACAAGGTTGGACAGGAGATCCTACTCCTTGTCACGTACAACCGGGGATTCGATACCACGCTAGTTGACTCAATGACAGGCCGTATGATACAGCTCGCACGTGCTAACCATTCGGCCATCCATTCCCCCCCCCCCTCCCCTCTCAATACTGTTAGAATATGATTATATAAAATACTGACTGACCTTTTGACAAAACTTGAAAGCTGGTAATAGTTGACCGGATGGTATGAGAAATATTAATATATACAGAAATCCTATACCATATGAATATAATACCTGAAATATAATATAATACTTGACACAAACCAGGTTGTTTCGGGACTAACATATGGTTCAACAGTCCTTCACGTTTAAAAACTTGTGAGGTAACCATAAAAACTTACTGCCAATTTCAAAAATGAGAAAAAAACTTCAATAAAAAACTCTTCATTATACTGCGAGAGTAATTAATTCTACATGTTTTTGAATAAGGAGAACCAAATTGTATTTATGTTTTAGTCTTGTTTAATATTTGGTGAAGATTCTATAACCTATTCAAGGGCAATAACTCTATAAGTAATTATCAGAGCGTGTTGTAATTGTAATTCATTACTAGGGAACAAAACTATGTCACTGTTACTGGCATACAAGCTGGGAATAAAAACCACAGGCCTTATGATCAAAATCTTGCTTACCACTTCACAGTTACTGGCACCGTGCTGTTTTATTGTCTTCTCCTGGACATTTCCTATAACTCCATCTGCACATACGGCTAATGATATCAATATGATTCCATATAAATTAAACTCCGGGGAGACGGTACTATCCGCTAACGTAAATAATATTAGCCCTAAACTCATACAAACACAAGCTGATACATCGATTATATTAAATTTCTTTCCTGTAATAAAATAAATAAACAGAAATGAACAGGAGGTCGATCAAGAGTTCAAGGGTTCAGGAGGTCAAGGGTTCATGAGGTCAAGGGTTTTGAAATGAAATGAAATGAAATGGGGTTTAACGTCCTACTGTTCTGCTCCTATGCTGGGCTAATGAAGATGGGCATATGCCATACAGTGTGCTATGAGGGAAATTTTGCCCGGGCAGCGGCAATATCGCCTACTCTTATATTGAATTCCAACTGCCAAGGGATCTTTTACGTGTATTCTAATGTATACATGGGACCTCGGGTTTTCGTATCATCCGAAGGACTAGACAGCTGTCCTTGTCAGGCCCTCCGTCCTGCATCACTGACAAGGGGAAACCGGGCCGGAAAATCTGGATGAACTTTATCGGCCAATGCAGGGATCGAAACACCAGACCTCCAGGCTAGCGAGCCAGCGTCTTACCCACTTAGCCACCCTCATCCATGGATTAAGAATCACTTGCCTTGTATCAAAATTCCACCGATTAAAACTGGTATCAATTTACAACATTTAAATATAACTTGAGTGGCATAGTTTAAATATCCAACAGATGTATTAGATAATCCCATTGTGCTGACGGTTAAAAATGCTAGGAAGAAATACGTCTTTATTGGTATTCTGAAACAAAAAAAATAGTTTTCAATAGAATGATAGTGGTCGGATGGTCCAACATATCTCCCTATCATCAGGTCTGTCATTGAGTCAAGTGGTCTAACAAGTTTACTTTAGATCAGTGATTCTCAACCAATGTGCTGCGGCACACAGGTGTGTCACGAGATTGTGCCGCGAAATTTTGAATGGCACACTAAGCAAATGTGAAAATTCAATCCCAATTGAATATTCACAGGTGTCTACTGGTAAGTTCATAGCTGTGTTTTTCTTTATTTAGTTTGAGCCATTCTATTATTTCTTTCACTACTCTCTGTCTACGGTTGTATTCCATTTGACTTGCCATGTTTTTATTTTGTAAAATTTGAATATTTGTCATATATATATTTAGCCAGGTGTGCCGCTATGTTTTCATGTGTTCTAAGGTGTGCAGTTGGCCAAACAAGGCTGAGAATCACTGCTTTAAATCATAAGGTCTGTCTTCGAGTGGCATTGTTTTTTTCAGAGCTTGTCTTTACTACACTTGGATCTGGAAGAGTTGTTATTTAAGTCGTGTTCTGAATGGGGTCGAGGATAAGCCAATGAAACGGTCTGTCACGGCGAGCTTAATGCGTGTTTTGCACGGAACTGTGTGTAATCCACTAGTAACATCTATGTTGATTGGTTAATCAAATGTCTGACATCATAGGGTCATAAGTCGGTCTTTGACCCCTGACGTGACCTATCGCTATAACTTGTCAGATCTTCATGTAGTTTAGGCCATCGAAAGTATAAAAAAAAAAACGAAATATAGATCTGTATTTTAATCAGATTGTTTTCCCCAACCCGACATGAATTATTGTAATAAAATTGGATCATCAGTTAGTCCAAAAATGATCTAATTTGTGTCGAGTGGACGTGAAACCACATTTCTCTCTCTCTCAAAATGCGGAAATAATGTGATTCAGCACCACACCCAACGATTTACCATGGCCAAAGATCCACCACACCTAACGATTCACCACAGCCAACAATCCACCAGACCCAAGGATCCACCACACCTAACGATCCACCACACCCAACAATCCACCACACCCAAACATCCACCACACCCAAAAATCCACCACACCCAACGATCCACCAAACCCAACAATCCAGTACAACCAACAATCCACCACACCCAACCATCCACCACACCCAAAGATCCACCAGACCCAAGGACCCACCACACCCAACAATCCACCACACCCAACCATCCACCACACCCAACAATCCACCACACCCAACGATCCACCACACCCAACAATCCAGTACAACCAACGATCCACCACACCCAAAGATCCACCACACCCAAAGATCCACCATGACCCCCGTAAGTAAAACAAATCAAAGAGTAAATTTAACTGTGATTATAAATTACTTTCGTGTTTTGTCTTCTTTAAACTGGAGTTCCAAAACACCAAATATCACATAACAAGCAAACTGGATTAACGTCAGGTACATCCCAAACGGACGGAAACCATCCAGGCGAAATATCAGTTCCTAGAAATAGAAATACAAGATTACCAGTATAATAAAATAAAATGAAATGGGGTTTAACGTCCTACTGTTCTGCTCCGAACTGGGCTAATGAACTATGAGGGTAATTTTTCCTGGGCCTACTTTAATATTGAATTCCAACTGCCAAGGGATCTTTTATGAGCACGCCAATGTATACACAGGGCCGCAGTTTTTCGTCCCATCTGAACAACTAGACAGCTGTACTTGTCAAGCCCTTCGTCCTGCACCAATGACAAGGGGAAATCACATTGGAAAATGCAGGTATCGAACACACAACCTCCAGTCTAGCGAGCCAACACCTTACCACTTGGCCACCGTGGCTGCCTTTATTATATAATATAAGTAATAAAAATAAAAAAAATGTATATATTGAAATGATTACCTGCATATATCCATAAATAAGGTAAAAGAAGAAAGTAGCCGATGTAAGGAGTAAGAATTGAACAGTTGTAGATGTGTGACTTATATCAAAACACATCAATGAGACGGTGACGCTACTTTTCTGTTGGATCGAATCTGGACTTGAAGCAGACATCATGGGTATTGAGATGATATTCGAACTGGACGCCGTTTTCTGGCGTAAACTATGCTGTGGTAGTGGTAAATTGTATCGTGACATTTTAGATATCGACAGTCTAGACTAGAGATTGATTCGAATCCAAGCTAATCTTATAATCACGAAAACATTTTAAAATTGCCTCTGCATCTTATCCTGACTAGTCTTTCTCTCCACCTCCCGTTCAGAATCTGATGGCAGTAGTACTACACACCTATTAATTTCAATATGATGGCAGTAGTACTACACACCTGTTAATTTCAATCTGAAAATAAAGAGAAATGTCGTTTATCGCATACATTACCAGATTTGGATGTTCATCAATTGGAGATGAAGCTATTATTCAGTACAAGTAGGTCTCATTTTACATTATTTGAAAAGGTCTTTCCAGGGCAGATCCATGTACATATACGCCAAATAATATTTTACCCAAATAAACAGGTAATCTACATGGACAATACTAGATCTTTGTACGATCTGAGAAATATCTTTCTCTAGGGTTAGGGTTCGGGTTAGGGTTTGCTTTATAAATTACATGTCAAATGTACAAATTGAAGCTGTAACAACGGTGGATTGTGGCTAAAACTATTCTGAAGGGTTAGGGTTAGAATTGTGGGTATAAACACGGAAAGATATTTCTCAGATCAGAAAGATCTAGTATCGTGCAATCTGTATAGACAATTTAGTTTCAAATCAAAGCTTTCGCCAATTTTGGCACCCATGTCCTGAGCTAAGTATCTACAAAACAAGCTGTTGACGTTGTGAACCGACCGAAATACTTTAACGCTAAACTTGCCTAAACTAAAGGCAAACAAAAAATCAGTCTTCAAAAAGAACCAAGATTTCTTCCTCTCGAAAAACAAAAATGAATTGCATTTAACTCTGAGTGGTAAGCCTTACTTTTCTATTTGTAATTAAGTTACTTAAAATGAAAAATCTCCAAAGAAAATTCTTACGTTAAGTTACAACCCTTACACGTTTCAACAACAAACTTACTTTTTCCAATGTATTATGCACTTCCGGTGTGATCTACGTCATCAGTTTTCGTGTAGAAATTCCAAGATGTCAGCGTCCATGGTGCTTGATTTTGAACGTACTCGGACCAAGTTTTTGGTAAATATCTATCTTCTGAGGATAGTATTTCAATTTCATTCATTTTCTCTGCATCTTATACAACTTTAAGGAAATCAGTCGAAACGATAGGAGTCACTTAGAAATGATAAATTCCAATCCTTGGTCGGCCTTCGGTTTCATTTGTGGTCCAGGTTTTCACTAATCATTTCTCTAATCTCAGTTTGAGTTGATGTTTTGTAAGAAAAGAGCAGGTTCGGTTGATTCGATGTTTTACTGTGTAAAAGCAGTTTGGGTTGATTTCCGGATGGTAGAATACGATTGGGCATTCATGTTTGATGTGGCTCCCATTTTTGTGTCTCAATATTTCATTGTTGTTGAAGATTTTGTCTTACTCATTGGTTTTAATCTTAAATACCTGGCCCTAACCCTAACCCTAAAATGTAAAAGTTATGGAATGTAAAAGTGATGAAAATAGAAAAGGGAATCGGATCAAACATGATCGCCTATGATTGGATGATCTTGCAGTAAACTGCACCCGCTAAAACAGTTAGCCTATCTCTCAAATACAGCATCCACAATATGATCTAGTGTAATGTGACAATAATGGTATTATCTTATTTTTCAGAATGTCATTGAGAATAGTGTGAAAAGTGGAAACATACAGGAATGTGTTACAAAAATACAAGAAGAAGATGGGGGGTGAGTAATTACTCCAGGAGAGGGCAAATCAAATGGGCTTTACTTTGCTGCACATGGGGCAGGGGAGCCATAGTGGCTCAGTGACTAAGATGCTTGCTCAATAACCAGGTGGGCCCGTGTTCAGTCCCACTGTTAGTCGTAAAAAATTCTCAGGATCTTCCCTTGTTAGTTGTGCAGGACGGGCGGCCCTGTCAAGGACAGTCGCTGGTTGTTCGGAGTAGATGAAAAACCAAGGTCCTGTACGTACACATTGAAAGTTGAATTATGTCAATAGTTTATATTGTTTGTATGTATAATATCTCAATTAATTCTGTTTAACTTGTAGAGAGGGAGAAAAGAAACTCGTCACAGATCAATCACTTAGAGATGTCATCAGGAAATTGGTGGTAAGTTAGGGAAAAAGATAAATTTATCTTCATTTCGTAATCGTTCATTTTGTGTACAATATCTAGATTCCAATTTGACCATATAGTCAATTATAATTGCTTGAATTAAAAATTGCCCAAAATGTCTTAGGACCAATTGGTCAATTTACACGCTGTAAAACAAGCTTATTTTTCAAAATCCCATTTCCAAACATGGCTACTATAGATCTCTGCCATATAAGTATAAAAATTCTTCGACATTTAGTATATAATATCAGTCCTTCACGTTTAAGGTGTGCTTTCGCTCCTGCTCCTAATCCTCTCGACGCACCTTGACTTTCCTTTGTGGGAGTCATTAATGGCTCCTGCAAATTAGCTAAATCGCGCCTCAATATTGAGATTAATAAACTACTTTCAGTTTTTGTTTATTTTTAAACTGCATATGTTCAAGCCATCAGTTTCGATGATGATAATTTTAATGCTATCATACTGTATTCACCATCATATTCACTAAATATTAAACAAGACTAAAGCCTAAATACAATTTAGCTCTCCTTAATTCAAGAAAATGTAGAATGACTCTTGCAATATAATCAAGAAGAGGTTTTTACCTGAGCTCTTTCCTCATTTTTGAAAAGGGCTGGAATCATACAAGTCACATGAGCTCATACTACAAGATCCTCTTCTCGGACACCGTCTTCATTAGCCCAGTTCGGAGCAGAACAGTAGGACGTTAAAACCCATTTCATTTTATTTCTTCTCGGCAACAAATACCTCTAAATGTTATTTATCTTAAATTTAAGAAATGGAACTTGGATATCTGTTGACCAACTTTAATATTTATGTGACTGTCTAATTCTAATATGGCATCGATGACATCATGAATCAGAGGTTTCTTGTTTATATTGTATGTTTATATTTGTTTCTAAATATGGTATTATGTATATATTACAGGATTCTGATGCACCATGTGAAACATTTAAACTGGTTATTGGATGTGCTGTGGAAGGCGCTATAAAAGGTACATACTTCATTCTTAAAAAGACATTATGGGAGATTAGATAAAGAGATGGCAGTTCTCGCTATGATAGTTAGAAAATAGATAACGTATAAAAATAGAGTATGCTGAAGATTTCAGTCAAATTGATCCACTCTGAACCAAGATTTTAGCTTTTGAATTTTAAGCTAGCCCTGATCAACATTCCTAAAGTCGGTACGATACAAACAAAGTCTTGATTACCAACTTTTACGTTGAATTATTTTTCGAAAAATATATTTCAATCCACTAAATATCGCAGGCTAGCGATGGCATCAAGAGTTGATTATAGCCTGGATAAGTTAATTAATGTCTAATTTATAATTTTAGATAACATTTCAGACCTAAAGAAAGACCTGCAATAGGCAGATTTAGCTCTTGCCTAGGGGGGTTGGATGGCCGAATGGTTAGCACATGCGCGCTGTATCATAAGGCCTGCCATTGAATTAACTGGTGTGGTTTCGAATCCCCGGTTGTATGTGACAAGGAGTAGGGTTGCCTGTCCAGCCTCATGGGTTTTCTCCGAATCCTCTGGTTTCCTCCCACTGCTAAAGACCCCTACGCGCAAGCGAATTATTGAAATAAAATTGAACCATATGTTAGTCCCGAAATGACCTAGTCTGTGTCGAGTGGACGTTAAACCCCATTTCTCTCTCTCTTGCTCTCTAGCTTTTGTATAATGTATGTTTAATTGTTGTCTGCATCTCACAAAAAGCCAATTGGTTTAATGTGTACTTTAGCTCATAGGATCTGTCATTGAGTCAAGTGGTGTGGTTTCAATCCAACACTTGTACATGACAAAGAGTAGGATTGCCTGTCCAGTATAGGTACATGACAAGGAGTAGGGTTGCCTACAGGGTTGCCTGTCCAACCTCCAGTTTACGCCCACTACTTAAGCCCCCTACGTGCAAGCAAATTATTGAAATAAGATTGTATGTGTACCATAATATGTTAGTCCCGAAATTGTCCAGTTTGAGTTGAGTGAACGTTAATCACCATCGAGAATCTGGGTTGCTCAGGGAGTAAAACGTCCGCCTGCTTACTTGGAGGTCATGTGTTCAATCCCTGTGTTGACCAAGAAAGTTCATCAGGATTTTTGGGTGTGGTTTACTCTTGTCAGTGATACATATATGGTCATTTGGATGGGACAAAAAAAAACGACGTCCCTTATACACATTGGCATGCATGTTAAAGAACCCTTGGCAGTTGGAATTTGATATAAGAGTAGGCGTATGCTCGTCTTCATTAGCCTAGTCAGTACAGAACAGTAGGACGTTAAACCCCATTTCATTTCATTTTCTCTCTTCTAGATATATGTACAACCACAGTACCGTTTTTAATGTTAGCGGACATGTTTGATATGTTAACGCTAGAGAAATCAGAAAGAGTATTTAGTATTGTTGAAGATAATGTTTCTGTCTGGAAATCAGTAAGTAGGGTTTGATCAGCATGTTTAATAACGTAGTCACCTCCGTCCGTTTCCCGTCTTTATTAGTCTATTTGGTGAAACAGAATGTTAAACCCCCTTTTTATATTAATTCCGTCTTATCATCTGTCCGGCGTGGTTCCCCCTTTTTATATTAATTCCCTCTATCATCCGTTTTCAAGTTTACAGAATACGGCCTGTCATTGAGTCAACTCGCGTGGTTTCGAATCCCTGGTTGTACGTGACAAGGAGTAGGGTCCCCTGTCCAACCTTGTGGGTTTTCTCCGGGTCCTCCAGTTTCCTCCCACTGCTAAAGACCCCTACGCGCAAGCGAATTATTGAAATAAAATTAAACCATATGATAGTCCCGAAATGACCTAGATTGTGTCGAGTGGACGTTAAACCCCATTTCTCTCTCTCTGTCAAGTTTACAGAGATTGTCCATTTCGTCATATCTGGTGTTATCTCCCCTTTTAGCTTAAAACTGATGAAATCTTGGGGGTGCTCAATTGTCAGTCCGAAACGTCACGAATTGACAGAATTGCAATCAAGTGATACAGAATTCAGCCCTGTCACAGTTCTGCCAGTCCCAACAGCTGAGGTAGTGTGAGTAGAATCGTGATGTATTTTAAGTAACAAATATGTTTCAGCTGCCATGATTGGTTGAGATATTTTTTTTATGCAGTCAGCACATGTGTTGTACTCCAAAATTCTCCTTTTCACTGGATTGACACTATTTTTGGAACGTTCAATCGAGTATCCCCCTTGTGAACATATTACAGGATGAAATCGCTAATAAGACTGGATATTTATACCGTATTTTAAACAAATAGAATTAGCCTGAGTAGTAGTGATGTTAGTATAGTTTGCTCAATAAAATAAAACTTATTCCATCTTTCACAACATTAAAGGAAGGCTTTTGTATCAAAATCTTTAAGGCAGAACCCTGTTGAGTTATAAAAATTTTGGGGGTTCTAAATCTCTCCGTTGAGGTAAGTTTTTTTCTTTCAGTATTTTATTCATTCATTAATATTCTTTTTCATTTCTTCCAGGCCAGTTTTTATGATGCAGGAAAAAACTTTCTCCTGAGAATGTGCAATGGTAAGAAACATTTTTATTCATAAGGCTTCTTGTCATTTTTTTCTGGTTTCCTCCCACTGCTAAAGACCCCTACGCGCAAGCAAATTATGGAAATAAGATTGAACCATATGTTTGTGTCGAGTGGACGTTAAACGTCGGTTTCAGGAAAACAAATTTCTTGTACATGTGCATTATTTATCATTATTTTAATTTTGCTTATTTCAGATTTGATTCGTCGTCTGTCGAAATCTCAGAATACTGTATTCTGTGGAAGAATTCAACTGTTTCTCTCACGGTTATTTCCCCTGTCGGAAAGATCAGGTTTGTACAATAAATTTCTGTTTCAGACATGCTTTTCTTCAAAATATTCATTTTGCGATTTGTCTCTATTAACCATAAACATTAAAGCATTCTTTTGCATTTTCTGGGTAATATCAATCGTAACTTCTCGAATAGATTATAAAACACTTCATTAATAATCTACCCAAATAGATTATTTAACACTTCATTATAAATCTACCCAAATAGATTCTCACTGTTTGGATTTTATCGAATTAGAAAGAGGCCCATCAAAGGATTTTACTCAACATTTTAGTGGAACTGGCCTGTTGGATGTCGTCTGAAAATTATACTGAATGTTGAGAAATTCTCAATTCATCATATTTATGTAAATACAAAAACGGAATTAGAATGATATTTCGTTTAGATATTCAGAACATGTTCACAAGAGCACCACAATAGCTGATGTAGCACCTTTAAACATTGATATTTCATTTAGATATTCAGAATGCGTTCGTAAGAGCACCACAATAGCTGATGTGGCACCTTTAAACATTAATATTTTGTTTAGATATTCAGAACACTTTCGCAAGAGCACAACAATAGCTGATGTGGCACCTTTAAAAATTACATTTCCTTTAGATATTCAGCTTTGACGATAACTAATGTTGCGACTTTAAACATCGACTATAAATATATTTTCTGTGTTTCCCCCTTTTTGTCCCAAATGAAATTTATTTGAATTGTTTTTATTTTTCAGCCTTAAATCTTATGAGTCAGTTTAATTCAGAAAATGTAACCGTGTTCAATATGCAGGCCAATGAGAGTAAATTTAAAAAAGTAAGTTTATTTTATTTAAACCGTTCTCTTAATTTTCTGAGTGATAAAGGTCCTTTATCATCCATGTAATATTCAGAGAGGGGGAGAGACAAAACGAGCAAGTCAGAGATGAGGGGGCCGGAGACAAAAAAGGGGGTAGAGATACAGAGAGAGGAGAAATTGGGCACGGCAAGATACAAGGAGGGGAAGATGGGACGGAGGGGGGGGGAAGATACAGAGAGGGAAGATACAGAGAGGGGAGAGATAGGGGATGGGGGAACATACAGAGAGATGGGGGCGGAGAGGAGATGGGGGGGAGATACCGAGAGGGGAGATAGGGAGAGGGAAGATACAGAGAGGGGGGAGATAGGGGATGGGGGAACATACAGAGAGATGGGGGAAAGTGATACAGAAATGGAGAGGGAGTGTGGGTGGTACTTATCCCCACTCAACATGAGTAGATACATTTATCTTTTTAAATTAGTCCTAAGTAATAAATCGGAGATCTCAGAAAAACTGTTTATGGTCAGACAGATGAGTCTGTTTCTTGTCATTAACAGATCACATTAGTGCAGAGCTTTAGACTAATTAATGTTAGAACTCATAAAATTAAATTCAAAACTGATTTTTTTTATAGCCGAGCGAAATTAAGGTTGAAAAAATGGAAATGGAAGAAGGAGAAATGGAAGAACCACCCAGGTGAGAATAAAACACAGGATATATGTTATCAGACTTTAACCCAAGTATCATTTAATCTTGTGTATTTAGCACTAATTTCTTTGAAAATTCGTTAAAATCGTTTTAAATCATCCCAAATCATCTAATATGTATTTTTGTCCAGTTTAAAGCTGACCATTCAATTTTTATAATGAGTGTCTAATTAACAAGTATTTAATTTCTAAATCACTGTTCAAAAATAAACAACCCAATTGGTTATAGATTTATAGTGAATAATTTTTTAACATTGAAAAAACACAACACAACTTTAAAAGTGCAACGTTTCAACAAGTGTCCTCTTGTCGTTATCAAGCACAGGGTAAAAAAACGACAAATATTATCATCATATAAACAATATTTTTAACAGTGGTCGGGAAATTAACAATTTGTAAAAATTCTACCAAAAGCCATTTAATTTAAGGTCAAACAAAAGATGTTTAAATAATACTTAAACCAAGGACCTAAAAATAAGATAATGTTATTTTATAATATCTAATCAGGAATGCTCTTTTATAGATTATCGCTATGCCTACATTGAAATTTAAAATCCGATTGATTTTAAATTTTAACACAGTTTTCAGGTCATGAGACGGAGAAGCCTATTTATTTTCAACAATTTCGGATAATTACTGCCAGAGTTATGGCCCTTGATCACTGAAAATCTTATGGCCACTCTAGAGGCTCGAGTTAATATCATATTGACTTTAAATTTATACACAGTGTTTAAGGTCATGAGAGAAGAAACCTATTGATTTTCAACGATTTCCGATAATTACTGAAAAATCTTGTGGACGCGCTGGAAGCTAAAGTTAATATAAATTTATACACAGTGTTTAAGGTCATAAGACAAACAATTGAAACAGATTCTAATGATTTCTGATAATTACTTAATGGGTTCTTAATCATAATCAAATTTTAGTGTGTTGTAAATGTTTTCATTACAGACAAAACAAAAAATATGCGACAACACTTGTTGACTGCCAGGACGACTTATCTGCTGTGGGCTTTGGTTTCATTGCCTGACAACCTATCTTTTTAATTAATTTAACATGATTAGAAATAGAAATGCAACTAAATTTTAATCTAAGTTATGGATTCATAGATCTATTTAGAAATGTAGGATGATAAACACCATTTCATTTTGATAAATCTATCAGAAATTGTACACATAATTTATTTTTAAAACTGTGGATATAATAGTAATACTCAAATCACACCAGATTGAAAATTTTACTTTTTTTTTTTATAGCATGGCACTTATATGCCTCTTAAACTGGCTAATAGGAAAGAAAAACAATTTCTGGTGGGTGTGTGGGTTTGGGTGCATGGCCGAATGGTTAGTGCTCGCACGCTGCACGCTGATTCCCTGGTTGTACGTGACAAGGAATAGGATCGCTTGTCCGACCTCGTGGGTTTTCTCCACCTCCTCCATCTTGAAATAAAGATGAACCACATGTTAGTCCCGAAATGACCTGGTTTGTGTAGAGTGCATGTTAAACCCCATCTCTCTCTCTCTTACTGGAGATTTTTATTGTACTTGTCAGATATAGATATTCGCAGAGAGAAAAGACAATATTAAATCTCTCAGTATATACCCTAGTGTATTAAATCTCTCAATTTTATTTTTCAGCACATTTCCCATAGATTATAATCTATATCGAAGATTCTGGTCGTTACAAGAATATTTCCGTAAACCTACGCAGTGTTATGACAAGGTCTCGTGGAAAACATTCTCCATTGTAAGTAAAACATTGTCCATTGTAAATAAAACATTCTCTATTGTAAGTAAAACATTCTCCATTATAAGTAAAACATTCTCCATTGTAAATAAAACATTCTCTTTTGTAAGTAAAACATTCTCCACTATAAGTAAAACATTCTCCATTATAAGTAAAACAATCATTTGTCATAGTTAATTTGGTCACAGAAACTAAGTACAGTTGTACCATATGTTAATCTCTAAATGGCCTACCCAATGTTCAGTTGATGTAAAGACCCCTACCCCCAAGCGAATTATTGAAATAAAATTAAACCATATGTTAGTCCCGAAATGACCTAGTTTGTGTCGAGTGGACGTTAAACCCCATTTATCTCCCTCTCTCTTTCTGTCTCGTCTAAGGGTCTCTGTTTATTTTGTTTGTAGCATGCCGATGAAGTATTGAAAGCTTTCGATAGTTGTAAACTGGACGATCTAAAATCACAACGTAAAAAATTAGATAAGACAAAACAAATGGATACACAGACGTTTTTTGCTAAATATCTCACCAGCGAAAAGGTGCGTATATGTTTTCTCATTTTTATACGTCTACATGGAAATGTGGTTGTATATTGTTGTCAGCCCAGTATGTTGGTACGGCCGATAAATATCTCACCCCTTGTCACTGGGGCTGGTAAAGACAGTGTCTAGTCGTTTGGATGGTACGAAAAACTGAGTTCCAGTGTACATATTGCCATGCCTGTAAAAAAAAGGGAATGTTGGTGGGGGTAGGGGGTGGATGGCTGAATGGTTAGTGCGTGCGTGCTGCATCATAAGATCTGTCATTGAGTCAACTGGCGTTGTTTCGATTCCGCAGTTGTACATGACAAGGATTAGCATCGCATGTCCAACATGTGTTTTTTCTCTGGGTTTCCTCCCACTGCTATAGAGCCCTACGCGCAAGCGGATTCTTGAAATAAAATTAAACCATATTGTAAATATAACATTCATTAATGTGTCATGTTAAAGCGGAAATTGCAAATTTTTAAGTTATATTTTTAAAATTTATTAAAATAAAGCCTGAAAATAGATGGTATACATAAACAGTCCTACCTTGTTAAAGAATAATCCTATTAATCCTATAATTCACTATTGCCAGCTGAGAAATTGGCAAAAATATCATTTTCCTCTTCATTTTCAAACGTTTGAAAAAAGCTACTCCATGGTGGAGAATAGAAAACAAGGAAGGTAATTGGGAGGTAATTGTGTTATTATTTCCTGTGTAAATCAGTTTTAAGTGTGAGAATGACACCTATGATTTTATAATAGTGAGTTGACAACCTATTGAGCAAAAGACATAGAAATAATTACGTTTTGACTTTCTTAGAAAATTTGCAATTTCCGCTTTAATGTGTATTGTATATATAATATTTGTATGTTTTTGTTTTCTAGTTATTAGACCTTCAACTGAGTGACAGCAACTTTTATTAATGTGTCATGTTAATGTGTATCATATATATTATATTTGTATGTTTTTGTTTTCTAGTTATTAGATCTTCAACTGAGTGACAGCAACTTTTATTAATATGTCGTGTTAATGTGTATTGTATATATAATATTTGTATGTTTTTGTTTTCTAGTTATTAGATCTTCAACTGAGTGACAGCAACTTTTATTAATGTGTCATGTTATTGTGTATTGTATATATAATATTTGTATGTTTTTGTTTTCTAGTTATTAGACCTTCAACTAAGTGACAGCAACTTTCGACGATATGTTTTAGTCCAGTTTCTCATCCTCTTTCAATATCTCAACGCACAAGTTAAATTCAAGAGGTGAGGTTATAAACATCATATCAGGCCCCGAGTTCACAAAGCATTCTCAGACTTAAGTTGAGAATTTGCTCAACTTTCAATCACTGTTTATGAGAAATATCTTTGATCCAGAAACACAACACTTTGCACATAGTTTCTTATTGATATATCTGATACATTAAAACAACAAAATTATTATAAAGGGCTATATTTTAGTTAAACTAAGGTGAACAATTTTAAGTAAATTCTCAACTTAAGTCTGAGAATGCTTTGTGAACTCGGGGCCAGGGATATTTAATCCTTTGAGTTGAATCTCTGAAAAGGAATATTAGTCTGTCGGATATTTACAAAGATGTGACAAATTTCATGATATTTAACATCGTTTGCCTATGGTGGGGTGTGTGCTGTATTATAAGGCCTGTCATTGCCGTGGTTTCGAATCCCTGGTTGTACGTGACAAGGAGTAGGGTCGCCTGTCCAACCTCATGGGTTTTCTCCGGGTCTCCGGGTCTCCGGTTTCCTCCCACTGCTAAAGACCCCTACGTGCAAGCGAATTATTGAAATAAAATTAAACCATATGTTAGTCCCGAAATGACCTGGTTTGTGTCGAGTGGACATTAAACCCCATTTCTCTCTCTCTCTCCCTTTGCCTACGATATAAACCAGCCAGAGCCAATTTATATATCTGAAATAAAATGAAATGGGGTTTAAAATGACATAGGTTATCCAATTTCGGTATATTCTGTGTATGGAGAAATGAAATAGGGTTTGACGTCCTACTGTTCTGCTCCGAACTGGGCTAATGAAGATGGGCATACGCCATACAGAGTGCTATGAGGGAAATTTTGCCTGGACAGCGGCACTACGGCCTACTCTTATATCGAATTCCAAATGCCAAGGGATCTTTAACGTGCACGCCAATGTGTACACAGGATCTTGACTTTTCATGGTCCCATCCAAACGATTATACTTTGTCCCTTGCTATGTGTTTGAAGCCGTTGAACATTATTTGGGGAATTTTGATATCCTTAATAACTACAGTATTGTAAAAGATGAAACTCCATTATGAAATGAAATGTAATGGGGTTTAACGTCCTACTGTTTTGCTCCGAACTTGGCTAATGAAGACGGGCATACGCCATACAGTGTGCTATGAGGGAAATTTTGCCCGGACAACGGCACTACGGCCTACTCTTATATCGAATTCCAACTGCCAAGGGATCTTTAACGTGCACGCCAATGTGTACGCGAGATCTCGGTTTTTCCTCCCATCCGAATGACTAGACAGCTGTCCTTGTCAGCCCCTCCGTCCTGCATCACTGACAAGGGATAACCACGCCAGAAAATAAAACTCCATTATGAATATCTGTCAAAATATGGTGTAATTCTGTTAAAACTTCATTCCATTGTGAATTAGTTATTTATAGAACAAAGGATGTAATTAGTCAGAAGTCTCGACTTTTATTACATTTTATTTGATATTTTTATGTAGATTATTTTCAGTGCTAGTCATGTTTTTATGTAAATTATTTTCAGTGCTAGTCATGTTTTTATGTAAATTATTTTCAGTGCAAGTCATGTTCTAACAGATGAACAATCAGCTTGGGTAAAAACAGCAACGGAAAAAGTCACAAATTTGATTAAAGAAACACCACCTGATGGTGAAAAGTTTGCTGAATCAGTGGAGGTACGTAGAAATCCTTTGAATGACGGAACTCAACTAGTTGAACTATCCTATAAATGATGGTACTCAACTAGTTCAACTATCCTAAAAATGACGGTACTCAACTTGTTGAATTATCCTATAAATGACGGTACTCAACTAGTTGAATTATCTTATAAATGCCGGTACCCAACTAGTTCAACCATCCCATAACATTTTGTTTTACTGTATTAGTTTGATAACTTTGAGAGAATACTCTTCGATAGGTCACCCAGATAAATTAGTATGTAATATGGCTCGATATCCAGGTTACAATGCTGTTTAAAGATTATACCACAACAGCAACTGTTGTCCTTGTCAATTGTAGGCCTATTTGTGTGTTTGTCATCCACATGTGAATATCTGTCGTCCACATGTGAGTGTCTGTCGTCCACACAATGATGCATCTCCGGTTGTACTTGACAAGGAGTAGGGTCTCCTATCCAACCTCGTGGGTTTTCTCCGGGTCCTCCGGTTTCCTCCCACTGCTAAAGACCCCTACGCGCAAGCGAATTACTGAAATAAAATTAAACCATATGTTAGTCCCGAAATGACCTAGTTTGTGTCGAGTGGATGTTAAACCCCATTTCTCTCTCTCTCTCCACACCATGATCCACAAGCCACCACTTAACATGGTAATACAGAGACAATCAAGTTAACATGATAATATCGAACAACAAAGGTGGGTGGGGGTGGATGGCCAAATGGTTAGCGCGTGCTCGTTGCATCATAAGGTCTGTCATTGAGTCAACTGATGTGGTTTCGATTCCCTGGTTGTACGTGACAAGGAATAGGGTCGTCTGTCCAACCTGGGTCCTCTGGTTTCCTCCCACTGCTAAAGAGCCCTACGCGCAAGAAAATTATTGAACTAGAATTGAACCAAATGTTAGTTTCGAAATGACCTAGTTTGTGTCGAGTGAACGTTAAATGCCATTTCTCTCTCTCTCGAACAACAAAACATGCCAAATGATAAAAATAATAATTCCATAGCTGAGACCTGTTTGACTGAAGGTTTAGAAATGTATTCATGGAGTAGAATTCTTCTTAGTAAGTTATCTAGCCGTGTTAACCTATTGTTTATAGTATCAACTAATACGGTATAATGCATGATAAATAATATTTCATCTGTTGTTTATATAATAATAAATAATATTCCATTGGTTGTTTATATAATAATAAATAATATTCCATAGGTTGTTTATATAATAATGAATAATATTCCATTGGTTGTTTATATAATAATAAATAATATTCCATTGGTTGTTTATATAATAATGAATAATATTTCATCTGTTGTTTATATAATAATAAATAATATTCCATCGGTTGTTTATATAATAATGAATAATATTCCATCTGTTGTTTATATAATAATGAATAATATTCCATCTGTTGTTTATATAATAATAAATAATATTCCATCTGTTGTTTATATAATAATGAATAATATTCCATCTGTTGTTTATATAATAATGAATAATATTCCATCTGTTGTTTATATAATAATAAATAATATTCCATTGGTTGTTTATATAATAATGAATAATATTCCATCTGTTGTTTATATAATAATGAATAATATTCCATCTGTTGCTTAATATTAATAAATAATATTCCATCTGTTGTTTATATAATAATGAATAATATTCCATCTGTTTATATAATAATAAATAATATTCCATCTGTTGTTTATATAATGAATAATATTCCCTCTGTTGTTTAATATTAATGAATAATATTCCATCTGTTGTTTATATAATAATAAATAATATTCAATCGGTTGTTTATATAATAATTAATAATATTCCATTGGTTGTTTAATATTAATGAATAATATTCCATCGGTTGTTTATATGACAATGAATAATATTCCATCTGTTGTTTAATATTAATGAATAATATTCCATCTGTTGTTTATATAATAATGAATAATATTCCATCTGTTGTTTATATAATAATAAATAATATTCCATCTGTTGTTTATATAATAATAGATAATATTCCATCGGTTGTTTATATGATAATGAATAATATTCCATCTGTTGTTTAATATTAATAAATAATATTCCATTGGTTGTTTATATAATAATGAATAATATTCCATCTGTTGTTTATATAATAATGAATAATATTCCATCTGTTGCTTAATATTAATAAATAATATTCCATCTGTTGTTTATATAATAATGAATAATATTCCATCTGTTTATATAATAATAAATAATATTCCATCTGTTGTTTATATAATGAATAATATTCCCTCTGTTGTTTAATATTAATGAATAATATTCCATCTGTTGTTTATATAATAATAAATAATATTCAATCGGTTGTTTATATAATAATAAATAATATTCCATTGGTTGTTTAATATTAATGAATAATATTCCATCGGTTGTTTATATGACAATGAATAATATTCCATCTGTTGTTTAATATTAATGAATAATATTCCATCTGTTGTTTATATAATAATGAATAATATTCCATCTGTTGTTTATATAATAATAAATAATATTCCATCTGTTGTTTATATAATAATAGATAATATTCCATCGGTTGTTTATATGATAATGAATAATATTCCATCTGTTGTTTAATATTAATGAATAATATTCCATCTGTTGTTTATATAATAATGAATAATATTCCATCTGTTGTTTATATAATAATAAATAATATTCCATCTGTTGTTTATATAATAATAGATAATATTCCATCAGTTGTTTATATGATAATGAATAATATTCCATCTGTTGTTTAATATTAATGAATAATATTCCATCTGTTGTTTATATAATAATGAATAAGATCATCTGTTGTTTATATAATAATGAATAATATTCCATCTGTTGTTTATATAATAATAAATAATATTCCATTGGTTGTTTATATAATAATGAATAATATTCCATCTGTTGTTTATATAATAATGAATAATATTCCATCTGTTGTTTATATAATAATGAATAATATTCCATCTGTTGTTGATATAATAATGAATAATATTCCATCTGTTGTTTATAATAATAAATAATATTCCATTGGTTGTTTATAATAATGAATAATATTCCATCTGTTGTTTATATAATAATAAATAATATTCCATCTGTTGTTTATATAATAATAAATAATATTCCATCTGTTGTTTATATAATAATGAATAATATTCCATCTGTTGTTTATATAATAATAAATAATATTCCATTGGTTGTTTATATAATAATGAATAATAATCCATTGGTTGTTTATATAATAATGAATAATATTCCATTGGTTGTTTATATAATAATGAATAATAATCCATTGGTTGTTTATATAATAATGAATAATATTCCATCTGTTGTTTATATAATAATGAATAATATTCCATCTGTTGCTTAATATTAATAAATAATATTCCATCTGTTGCTTAATATTAATGAATAATATTCCATCTGTTGTTTATATAATAATAAATAATATTCCATCTGTTGTTTAATATTAATGAATAATATTCCATCTGTTGTTTATATAATAATAAATAATATTCCATCTGTTGTTTATATAATAATGAATAATATTCCATCTGTTGTTATATAATAATGAATAATATTCCATCTGTTGTTTATATAATAATGAATAATATTCCATCTGTTGTTTATATAATAATAATAAATAATATTCCATCTGTTGTTTATATAATAATGAATAATATTCCATCTGTTGTTTATATAATAATAAATAATATTCCATTGGTTGTTTATATAATAATGAATAATATTTCATCTGTTGTTTATATAATAATGAATAATATTCCATTGGTTGTTTATATAATAATAAATAAAATTCCATCTATATAATAATAAATAATATTCCATCTGTTGTTTATATAATAATAAATAATATTCCATCTGTTGTTTATATAATAATGAATAATATTTCATCTTTTGTTTATATAATAATGAATAATATTCCATCTGTTGCTTAATATTAATGAATAATATTCCATCTGTTGTTTATAGTAATGAATAATATTTGCTCTGTGTAATGAATAATATTTGTATATATTTCAGCATATTTTAGAAAGAGAAGAAAATTGGAATAATTGGAAGAACGAAGGCTGTGTTAGTTATGTGAGAGAGAAACTAACAGATGATAAAGAACCCGTTGAAAAGACACGTGTCAGGTATTACCCATATTCCTGAAGTAATGGCCCGAGAAATCCCTCTCTGGCCATTCCTAGATTGACTTCTGATACTTGAGCTTTTGAGGGAGTGTGTCTATTCTTCCCGTTCAATCAAATCTATCCCAAGTACAGCAACATGACAGCCCTTTGTTTAATCTGGGTCTTCCCAAAAACTTTGGACAGTGATTTAAGGTATTCAAAACGGTGAAAGTATGTTCGTTTCCAAACAGTATTGTTTACATTTTGATAGCCTCGTTTGTCACGCAATTAGTTTTTCTGCAATATTCTGCTATGCACTGGTTAATTGGGCATAATAAAATCTTGAGTCATGATGTAACCTTATGTAAGCATATTTGGTCCAATTTGGAGCTCTTGTTTTAAGCGTAATGCTTTTGTTACGCAGTTAGATATTGGTTGTTAATCGGACCATTGACCAGTCATAATTTGGAATAGAAATTTGCTTTCGTTAAAGCAGTGTTTAGTGGGATTAGGTATAATCAAACGAAACACTGCGAGGAGTATGGGTATTAACATATCATCTCTTCTCTCTTCATCCACATCAAACTATTTATACTTATATAAAAAACTATTTGAATTATTATATTTTGGTGGGCTCTACTCTACTGGCTGATGGTTCAGTGATTAGAGCACAGTCTCGCTAACTAGGAGGTCTTGAGTTCACTCCCGGTGTTGGTTGAAAATGTTTCCCCTTGTCGTTGATGTCAATGGGGGTACTCGATTGAACGTTCCGGAATTGAATTCTCTCAATCCCAAAAAATAGTGATAATCAAGTGAAAAGGAGGATTTCGGGCTACAACGCATGCGTCGACTGAATAAGTAAATATCTCAACCATCCATGCAGCCGAAACCGTTTAATTACGTCACGATTCTACTCACACCACCTCCGTTGTCGGGACTGACAGAACTGTGACAGAACTGAATTCCGCGCTACTCGATTGCAATTCTGTCAATTCGGGATGTTCTGGACTTTGAATGAGTTGAGATAGAACGAAAAATACGAGATACTGTGAAAACATTGGTTGCATGTAAAAGAATCCTTGACAGTTGGAAGGCGAAATAAGAGTAGGTTGCAGTGTCGCTGTCTTGGCAAAATGTCTGTCATAGCACACTGTCGGTGCAGGAAAGTAGTATGGAAACATCTTTCTCTGCCAACCCGAGGCGAGGGGTTAGATGGCCAAATGGTTAGCACTGTATCATACGGTCTGTCATTGAGTCATCTGGCGTTGTTTTTGATGTTCCGGATGTACATGACAAGGAGTAGGGTCACCTGTCCAACACCATGGGTTTTCTCCTGGTCCTCCGGTTTCCTCCCACTGCTAAAGACCCCTACGCGCAAACGAATTATTGAAATAAAATTGAACCGTATATTAGTCTCGAAATGACCGAGTTTGTGTCGAGTGAACCAGTTTGTGTCGAGTGAACGTTAAACCCCATCTCTCTCTCTCTTTCTCTCTCTTTCTCTCTCTAACCGGAGCCTTCCTGGTTAGCGAGCCAACACTGAGGCAGATGAATTAATAATGATGTCACGCATGAAACAATTTGTGGTTGATTTTCCTGTTTTATTAAATTTATGTTCATTTTTATTTGTTCAGAGCAAAACGTAAACGAGTTGGTGATGATTTAATGACAAGTGCTGGGAAGATTAATATGGGAAGTTCCGAGTTAACCAGGTTATGGAACATCAATTCTGATAATATGGATGCTTGTAAAGCTGATACAAGGTAAAGTTGGGAACTACATGTCGGAATACGCGATTGAAAGTTGTCGAATTGAATTCTCTCAATCCCGAACATAGGGACAGTGAAAAAGGGAATTTTGGGATACCACGCATGCACAAACTTCATTAGAAAATATCTCAAACAATAATGTCAGCTGAAACATGACACATGCCACAATTATATGAAATACAAGGTGAAGTTGGGAACTACATGTCGGAACACTCATTGAAGGTTATTTTCTCAATCCCAATCATAGCGACGATTGAGTAAAATGGGGAATTTTGAGTTACCACGCATGTACCGACTTCAACCAATATCTCACCCAATAATAACAGCTGAAAGATATGTGTTGTGTTTAATTGCATCATGATTCTACTACACCACCTCAGTTGTCCGGGGGGAGGGGGGGATGGCCAAATGGTTAGAACGTGCAAGCTGCGCTGTATCATACGGTCTGTCATTGAGTCAACTAGCAGGGTTTCGATTCCCCGGTTGTACATGACAAGGAGTAGGACTGACAGAACTCTGACAGGACTGAACTTCACTTCAGATGGTTTCTAACCGACAATTGATTATCCCCCTTGTGTTGTGATGAAAACGGGACACTATATATTCGACATGAAATGAATTGGTTTTTCTGCATCAGTTAGAACAGATTTTCCGGCGTGGTTTCCCCTTGTCAGTGATGCAGGACGGAGGGCCTGACAAGGAGAGCTATCTAGTCATTCCAATGGGACAAAAAACTGAGGTCCCGTGTACACATTGGCATGCACGTAAAAGATCCTTTGGCAGTTGGATTTCGATATAAGAGTAGGCCGTAGCGCCGCTGCCTGGGCAAAATTTCCCTCATAGCACACTGTATGGCGTATGCCCCTCTTTATTAGCCCACTTTAGGAGCAAAACAGTAGGATGTTAAACCCCATTTCATTTCATTTCATTTCAGTAAGAACATGGGTCCCCTACTTTTCTGCATCAGTTAGAACAAGGGTGCGCTACTTTTTTTCTGCATCAGTTAGAACAAGGGTGCCCTATTTTTTTTCAAACCATCTTTGAATATGAAATGAGATGAAAGAAATATTTGTATTTTTCTACAAGCCATCTTTTAATATTACTCTGTAATAACCACATGATTTGTTATGTTTTTAGAGTATTTTTACCACATCTAGAAGAATATTTTGCTGAAGCTATAGAACAAGCTGATCCTGAAGCCCAGATAGAAGATACTTATAAGTAAGATTTTTATACACTTTTGTTGTTGTTCTTAGTGTTTAAAGTCCGCTTCCACCGAAGGTGATATCTCAGACAAGTTGTCTTTTTTTTATTATGTTAGAGCATGCGCAGGGGTCTTTCCTGTTTTAACTTTATTTTACTTGTATTTCGATTTGAAATATTTCAGATTAGTGAATAAAGATAGTTACCAATGGCGGTCATTACGATTATTGGCTAGACGTTCTCCACATTTCTTCACACAGCTGAATCCACCAGGAATTCCACTCAATAAATATCTCGATATCATGGTCAATAAAATAGCACAGGATATGCCTGTAAGTATGTAATATTATTTTAGGGGGGACAGGCCCGTTGAGAGGGGGTGAGTAAATCGAGGGAGCACTTCGATATCCATTAAATATTTTTATACATTGGCATGGCCAGTATTCATGCCACAGAGGCCCTGATCCAATCTCTATGGACTACCGCGGCTATACAGTTAAGTTAGAAAACCTATTTCTGGTATTTTATGGTCTTAATGTCGGAGGGAGGCCCACAGATGTCGGATAGAGGCCCACAGGTCTCGGAGGGAGGCTCACAGGTGTCAGAGGGAGGCCAACAGGTGTCGGAGGGAGGCCCATAGGTGTCGAAGATAGGCCTTGGTCCCTTGGTCGGATACTCCACTGAACATTCCGAATCGAATTTTCTCAATCCCTGCAAAGGTATCAGTGCAGCAAAATTGAGAAACTCGGGTGCCATTGTATGGCGTATACCCGTCTTCATTAGACCAGTCGGAACAGAACAGTAGGACGTAAAACCCAATTCCAATATTTAGATTATAATCAGGATAGGGATTTATTTTGGTGATTTGATTTTTAGTCGAACTCCGGTGAAGGTGAGATGGACGGAGAAGGAGAAGAAGATGAGAAGAATGAATTAGATGAAGAGGAACCAGAAGAAAAAATACCCAGAAGACATCAAATCACCGACAATAGTAAAACTATTAACACAGGTATTAAATATATATTTTTATAAATAACTTAGCTGTTGACATGGTAATCACAGGTATCATTTAATGGTGGGTTGCTCTGTTTAAAATAAACTACCAAATTGATTAGCAATGTATATTAATAGGACATTAAACTCTTGTAAATTATTAAAACTGAACGGTCAGCTTTAAACTGGACACAAGTACAAATTTGATGATTTTGGGTTATTTTAGACGAATTTTGCGAATTTTCAAACAGAGATTTGATATTGAACAAATGTGATAGAAATTAGGCATAAATGATACCTGGGTTACCGGTCATGGTGTATTTATCTGTAATGATACATGGGTTACCGGTCACTGTGTTTTGATCTGTAATGATACCCGGGTTACTGATCACTGTGTATTGATCTGTAATGATACATGGGTTACCAGTCATCGTGTATTGATCTCTAATAATACATGGGTTACTGGTCACCCTGTATTGATCTGTAATGATACCTTGGTTACCGGTCACTGTGTATTATGATACCTATGTTTCCGTTCACTGTGTATTAATCTGTAATGATACCTTGGTTACCGGTCACTGTGTATTGATCTGTAATTATACCCGGGTTACTGATCACCCTGTATTGATCTGTAATGATACCCGGGTTACTGGGTTAGGTTTAAGAATTTGGGGGCAGAGATTGAGTCTCCACATAAGCACTGACCTAGGATGATGAAAAAATTTGATTCGGGATATTTCCTGGTTTTATAAAAATACATATTATACATTAATACTCAACTCTAATTCAACCCATACAATAATGGTTACCGCTGTATTGATATGTTTCTCGAATTGTACCTGACAAAAGGAGTAGGGCCACCTGTCCAACCTCGTGAGTTTTCTCCGGGTCCTCCGGTTTCCTCCCACTGCTAAAGCCCCCCTTCGCGCAAGCGAATTATGGAAATAAAATTGAATGATATGTTAGTCCCGAAATGACCTAGTTTGTGTCGAGTAGACGTTAAATCTCTCTCCCTGTATTGATATGTTATATTATATTATCTACATACTCTATACAATAATGAAGTCTAATGTTAAAGAGTTTCAATTACAGTAATAGATTGTCAGTTGTGGCAGCACCAGGATCGAACATGGGACCTCCCAGGTTAATGAGCTAACATCTTAATCACTGGGCCAGCATAGCTCCCTTATTGATTTGTATGTCCCAGAGCAGACTTTTTCGCTCTTACATTCACTGAAATAACGTGGAACAAACAATTGTTTTGACCTCAAGCCATTTCGATCCTATACATGGACAGAATAATGGTATCAGAGCTTCTGAATATATAAAATTCTGGAGTTATCTCCAAGACCTCACACCCAAGTTCCTAAAAATGCCCCAGTGTCTATATTTCAGTCTCGTATGGTGATAAATAATTGTTTATTTTGCAGTAAAAGACGATGCACCATTAACAGATATAGTTACCAAGGAGAATATTGCTAAGATTGCTGGTTTAATTGGTGAGAACTGGAAGATGTTGGGTAAAGAATTACGAATGCAGGAGGATGATTTGGCTTATTTTGAATCAGAAGGTGAAACAGCTCCACTTAATATGTTAACAGTATGGAAGGTTTGTATTCAAATATTTATCTTTTAACCTATGTGGGGGGGGGGGATGGTGCACTGCATCATAAGGTCTGTCATTGGTTTCGATTCCCTGGTTGTACGTGACAAGGAGTTGGGTCACCTGTCCAACCTCGTGGGTTTTCTCTGGTTCCTCTGGTTTTCTCCCACTGGTAAAGATCTGTATGTGCAAGCGAATTAATGAAATAGAATTGAACGATAAATAGTCCCAAAATGACCTAGTTTGTGTTGAGTGGATGTTAAACCCCATTTCTCTCTCTCTTTTAACCTGTGGTACTATCAACATTGCTGCTCACATTCTTTTCTTCTGTTTCATTGTTGACAGGGGAGTTGGGTGGGGGGAATGGTCAGAATGACTTTAAAGATTGTTTGTAAGTGAAGCCATATGAATCTACATGTATATAATATTAGTCAAACATTAGCATATCGTTAAAACTTACATTTACGAAAACCAAATCAAATTGTGTTTTCTGTTAAATGATATTTTATTTTGAAAATGAAATCCTGTGACTTGTTCTAAAGAAATGAAATGAAATGAAATGGGGTTTAACGTCCTACTGTTCTGCTCCTATACTGGGCTAATGAAGACGGGCATACGCCATAGAGTGTGCTATGAGGGAAATTTTGCCCGGGCAGCGGCACTATCGCCTACTCTTATATCGAATTCCAACTGGCAGGGGATCTTTTACGTGCATTCCAATATATACACAGGACCTCGGTTTTTTGTCTCATCCGAAGGACTAGACTGTTCTAAAGAAGAATAGGGGCATTGGCCGCATGGTTTAACGTGTATGCATTAGTCACATGGCATAGTTTCGATTCCCCACCTGTACGTGACCAGTGACCAGGAGTACATACGCCTGCCCAACCTTGTGGGTTTTCTCCAGGTCCTCTGGGTTGCTCCCACTACTGAAGACCCTTACCTGCAAGCCATTTATTGAAATAAAACTGAACTAATGTTAGTCCAGAAATGACCTACTCTCTCTCTCTCTCTCTCTCTCTCTCTCTCTCTTTTTTTTTTGTTCTAAACTAAGTTGAACCTAATCTTTAAGTGGCATTTAGTGATTGGGGTACACAATAACAGAACACAATTTTTATGGGAAACAATCACTGGTTTTATTCTAATAGCACGACGTTTCGACAAGTATCCTCTTATCGTTATCAAGCACATCGTTATCAATATCATTATTGTGCTTGATAACGATAAGAGGATACTTGTCGAAACGTCGTGCTATTAGAATAAAACCAGTGATTGTTTCCCATAAAAATTGTGTTCTGTTATTAAGTTGAACCTGTTTTTGAAGGAATAAAATGGATGGCTTCTCTGGGATCAAGGAGCTGACCTGGTAACTGCTGGCACTGGCTCACTAAACAGTAGGCCCTGGAAATCCTGTTCAAGAAAACTTCTCAGAATTTTCAGGCCAGGTTCCCCCCCCCCCTGTCAGTGCTGCTAAAGCATATATTTGTCTTGATGAAATGAAGAACCAATTATACAATGGGCAGTAGTTTTATTATCTAAATATTATACCCATCTTTTGTTTATTTCCAGGAAAATGAGACCCGGGATTCAAAACTTGATGTGATAAAATCGGCCCTCATCAAGATTGGACAATCATCAATTGCAGACAGCGTTTTTACTTCATCTTAAACTCTTCATCATTATTATTGTATAATCGTCATGGTTATGAACAAATATCATTGTATAATTTTCATGGTTATAAACAAAAATTATTGAATTATCTTCATTGTTATATGTTCTTGGGAGCCACAGTGGCTAAGTGGGTGAGACGCTGGCTCGCTAGCCTGGAGGTCAGGTGTTCGAGTTTTTCCAATTTGGTTTCCCCCTTGTCAGAGGTGCAGGACGGAGGGCCTGACAAGGACAGCTGTCTTTTCGTTCGAATGAGACGGAAAACTGATGTCCCTTGTATACATTAGCGTGCACGTAAAAGATCCCATGGCAGTTGGAATTCAATATAAGAGTAGGCCATAGTGCCGCTGCCCAGGCAAAATTTCCCTCATAGCACACTGAATGGGGTATGCCCGTCTTCATTAGCCCAGTTGGAGTAGAACAGTAGGACGTTAAAATAAATGAAATGAAATGGGGTTTAACGTCCTACTGTTCTGCTCCGAACTGGGCTAATTAAGACAGAGTAGGACGTTAAACCCCATTTCAGCTGGCCGATCGAATTTTTTAATGCACACTTTAGATCATAAGGTCTTTCAATGAGTAAACTGTAAATAGGTGTGTTTTCGAGTCCCTACTTGTACGTGACAACGAGTAGGGTTGCCTGTTCAACCTCATAGATCCTCACACTGCTAAAGACCCCTATTTGCAAGCGAGTTATTGAAATAAAATTTAACCATGTGTTAGTCCCGAAATGACCTAGTTTGTGTCGGGTGGACGTTAAACCCCATTTCTTTACCTTCAAATAAAAGGGCACATTCATATTCCTGGTGAAGGTCAGGTTCTAAAACAGGGTCTAGTGCCAGCGTGATGGAAACTGGAAAAGAGATTTAATTATGTGGTATATCATCAACATGATACTTCCTCAAATAACTCAAGAGTTTAATGAATGGATAGATGACTTAGAACGATATTCAAGGAGAACTTGCCTCAAGATAAAAACACTGATGAAGTTGTATTAAATTTGACCAATACACATGTAATTAACGGTGTAAATGAGCAACAAGTCGAAAATCTTGGAATGTGGTACCACATAGGGAGATAAGGGGGTCTGATAAATTTTTGAAAAAATTAATTCTTTTCTATGTCCAATATCGTGTGGTTGAACACACCCTAACCTGTTACAATTTAAAATATCATGGAGTAATTTAACTCCCTTGTTAAGTAAAATCGGATCTAAACCTGAATCTACTAAAAGTTTAAAGATGTCTGTAGAATTAATCATGTGATATTGAACACAATTACATAAAGCTGTATAACCATAATTATCAGCCAAACTTAGATCAGAATGTTGAAACAACAGTTTTAATATAGTGATGTCAGCTTGGTGTTTAATATGGTCCATTAAAGCAGTTTTTCACATTACAACCAACTTCTAATAAAATGTTAATCATTATACATTTCAATTAAACATGGATATCCTGTCTTTTCTCTAATTTCGCCCCCCCCCCCCCCAAGAATTAGATAAAGATCTAGCCTTTCTTGCTATATTAAATATTAATTACAAAACATAGCTAATGGAAAATGAATATATTGAAATTTTCAGTCTAAGTGAAGTTATCACTATTTGGCAAGTTGTGGCAGAGATTGTTTAGGGTCGTAACACCGGTACTTGTTATTCGAGACTTAGTCTCGTTACGTCATTTTTAAATTAAATCATTAAATGGCGACCGTTTTTAATCCATTTAGATCTCTGCCACCCGATGGTCTAGAGAGTTGATTATAGGCTTGTCATGTGAATAAATGTCTAAATAATAATTTATATAACATTTGAAGGCAGATTTAGCTTTTGCATTTGTAAGTTGGAAAAGCGGTTTCATATACATCTATATGATAAAGGAATCATAATTTTGATAAATATTTATATTTTCTAAAATACTGATGAGTTATTCACACTGCTTAGTTTTCGCGTTATTAGTATTAGAGCCTGTCCACTCTTTTTTTACACCATACCATACTGGAGACAACCCTAATATTTACTATATCTATAGCCCCGTTTACACTTGGGCGCGATAAGCGTGTCGTTCTGGGCACGGTACCAGGCCGCGATAAATTTCAAGAAATTGACCCGTTTACATTACTCTAAAATAACCGGTCTCAGAACCGTGCCAAGCACGCTAAATGTAGAACAAATTACCCAATGATAGTTGATGTAGTTTGAGCAGCCATTTTGACAGAATTGATGACAGAGCTGTCAAAGTTTGCGAGGAAAAAAGGTCAAGGTTCATTTGGAACATGCGCAGTAATCCGTGCTCAGACCGGTTAGCGTTTACACTACGAAAATTTAAAGCGAGCCGGTCCAGGTACCGTTCCGAGACCACCTCATTCAGTGGGCCAGATTGGCACCGTACCAGGCGCGGCATGCTTACGTTTGACCCGTTTACACTACAAAAAAGCGAAGCGTGCCGTACCTGGTACCGTGCCTGGTACGCTTAAAAGTTGTAATGTAAACAGAGTTTATGACTGGTGTAGATGATTGTAATTTGCATTCGCGAGACCTTACATAATTCTAATTCTTTACAGTTTTATCCCCACTAAAATGTAGAAACTACTTCTTTATTTAGCAAATTAAAGATGCATTAAGAACAAGCTAAATCAGCCTAATGCAGATTTTTCGTTTGACCTCAAGTGTTATATAAATCATTAATTAGACAATTTTTTTCCTGCCAGGTCCAAAATCAACTCTCTAGAACATCGGATGGTTTTGATTTTCAGTAGATTTAAATACGATTGTCAGTTAATAATCTAATTAAAAATGGAGACTTTGTTTAATAATGGTACAAAAGACTGGATGAAATGTGGTTTTTTTTGTTGTTTTTTTTTTTGTACGTTAGCACCAACCGGGCTATATTGCGACAAACATATTTATTCGAGACAGACTAGATTATATCACAATAAATTATTATATTCATAAATAAAAACAATATCACAGTAGTAAGTAAAATTAAAAATAAAATAAATTTTTGATGCATATAAATATTTAAAATACAAAAATGAAATGATATACAATTACGATTTATGATAAAATCCTACCGATTGAGCAAACTGGCAACGGTAATGTTTAGATCAAATATGCTTCAGATGATTGCACTGGGTGTGTGGTTGGCGGGAGGGGGGAAGGGCATTCACGGTGGCTAAGTTGGTAAGATGCTAGCTCGCTAGTATGTAGGTCGCGGGTTCGCTCCCGGTGTTGACCGAGAAAGTATATCGGGGTTTTCCGACATTGTTTCCCCTTCCTTGTCAGTGGTGTAGGACGGAGAGCCTGACATCTAGTGTAGTCGTTCGGATGGGACGGAAAACCGAGATCCCGTCAAAAACACATTATGTGCACGTAAAAAATCCCTTAGTAGTTGGAATTTGATATAAGACTAGGCGCTGTCCGGGCAAAATTTCCCTCAAAGCACACTGGCTGTATGGCGTATGTCCGTCTTCATTAGCCCAGTCGGGACAGAACAGTAGGACGTTAAACCCAATTTCATTTCATTTCATGATAGCACTCGGTCAAAATGTGACAGAACAAATTCTCGCTTTAAGATGAAAATGTGAGCTAACACAAAACAACATTATTCCTCCTGTTGGACCTATTGTTGTATTATCAGGGCCAGATTTGTACAAAAGAACACATATGTATAATAATAATATTATGGCCTTCTCCATTGTCAGTATATTAGCTATTGTATGAGTTTATTTGAAACCCAAATTAAATTGTTTATGAAATATTGTGAAATAACAGGACACGGGGTCTAAGGCCAAGGATAAATTCTTTTGTCTGGAACACTCAGGTGAAGAATTTTCCATTATCCATAAAAGGATAGTACTCACGTCATTAAGCACCAGGGCCAATCATTATGATTAATTACGTCATATTTTGCCAATTAAATAATAGATAGTCGAAACCCAAGCATATAAAAAACGTTAGATCTGTGTGACGTATTTGTCAGATATCATGTAGATTCTAAGAGGGAAAGATGAAGGGGTCGAGAGAGAAGGCTTTATTTTAATCTATGCTTGTAACCTTTGTATCCAGTGCTTGACATAAAATGCAGAAACTAACCGTGGTATTGTTATTCCTGTGTTTAACCATAAACTGACGTCAGAATGATCCAAATATGGACAGCTAACTCCGACGTCATCATATCTGGTAAATGTTCATTGATTTGTTTATTTTAATCAAAAAAGTATTTTGTTCGCCTATGGATCCTTTTAATATGTCACGATATCATCTATTTCCGTTGTATTACGAATAATGCGACACTTGTGTTGGATTTTAAATTCCCAGACATTAATATCGATTATGAAATAATTAACTTTCGATAGTTATAAATTTTATAAATTGTGATCAACTGAATTAACTGAATCCGTTCAATAGTAGTCGTGAAATATTTATTATTAACCAAATTTGAAAAGTTTGATGGGTATGCCCACGCTGATTGCATTAACACTTTCAAGTAGGTCACCCTCAACACGTGGACCACATGTTTGACAATAGGCTACATGTACCTCAAATTCAAAACTTATTTCTAACGAATTTAATAAATTGCATGGATCAAATCGTTTGTCGAAACAAATGAGTAAGTAACCTAGTTTGTGTCGAGTGGACGTTAAACCCCATCTCTCTTTCATATTATTAGATAATATTATATCATTGTCCGTTAAAAGACGGCTACTAATATGTATTATATGTATTATAACTTATGGATGACTGTTAAAATACTAATAAGCTTAACTCAGACAAGCTTACCGAGAAGCTTGCTGAGTGACAAACAGATCGGGGGTCGCTGTACAATACAGAAAGAGGGTATATTTGTATGGTTTAATGGTCGAGAGCGAAACGTTAAGTAATATATTGATACTGCACGAGACGTTAGCCGAGTGTTGTTTCAATATATTACGCAATGTCTTTATCTCGAGACTATAACGACACGTGCTTTTCAAGGACATACGTCACGCGAGTCCAATATTTCATCTGGTGTAGATAATGTACGATTGGCAAGTTGCCCGTACATTATTGGAAATAATGGTAGGCCAACATCAAATGATGACGTCCCATCT